TGATATCACCACTCTGATTCTACGCGGAAGACATCCCATGTCTAAAGAGAACCAGTTTTGAGCCCCCGATGACATCGTAAACTGGTGGTTCTAACGTCACCACTCCAGTTTTGAACCCCCGATGACATTGTAAACCGACGTCACCACTCCGATTCTATGCAAAAGACATCCCGTATCTAAAGAGAACCGGTTTTAAAACCCCGATGGCCCGCGATGGCACCGTAAACTAGCAGTTTTGACGTCACCACTTCGATTCTATGCTGGCAGTTCTCACGTTACCACTCCGATTCTACGCTGAAGGCATCCGGTTCTGAACCCCTGATGACATCGTAAACCGGCGGTTTTGACGTCACCATTCCAGTTCTGAACCCCTGATGACATCGTAAACCGGCGGTTCTGATGTCACCACTTCGATTCAATGCGGAAGACATCTCGTGTCTAAAGAGAACCGGTTTTAAACCCCCGATGAACTCGTAAACTGGCGTTCTGACGTCACCACTCGGACCACTCCGATTCTACGTGAAAGACATTACACGCGCAACAAGTTTAAACTCCCGATGACATTGTAAACTGGTGGTTTGATGTCACCATTCCGATTCTACGCGGAAGACATCACTCGGGCAGCATCACGTGTACACGTGCGACAAAATCGCGTGGCACATATTACACATAGGGTTACTTCAGTGATTCCGCACGCATGCTTCACATCATATTATATAGTTATTTATACAGCCAAGTTGAATGTCTATCTTTCGACGTGGGATAATTCCCAAACATCATTAAATAAAAGCAATTTAAATATATTCTATTAATAGGTAATATACCATCACAAGTAACATCGAGGTGTGATGGTTGTCACCTCCGCTCTTTTCCTTGATGTCTCAACCACCGAACTATAGAACGATAGAAAGACAGTTCGGTGGTTGAGGGAGTTTTTTATTTGTACCTTTCAACTCTTGCTACGTTTGCCCATGCTTCGGCTACAATTCAAGTAGCAGAAACCAGTGAACAAAGAACACAAAACTTAGCTAATACTATGAGTTTCATCGGCATTTAACCTTCAAGAACTCAAAATAACAAAATTATAGTCATATGTACATAATTATGAAGCAACGAACTTATGTTCTCGTTTGCATGAACTCACAAGACAAAAAACAATAAAGACGAAGGTTTTAAAGCAAATAATAAGCCTACTTTTGCAAACTGAAACATCATCATTAGGCATGCATCATGCACAAAAAGAATATTGTTAAAGGAACGCATTATTACAGACATGCGACCCACTAATTACCTTAAATGAAAGCAATTATTCACTTTGACCTTGAATATAGAGAAATACCATAAATGCTTTAGCCAAGATTGGGGAGAGTAGATAAAATAGCCACTTCATACTTGTATGAAGCATAATTAAAAGCCTCACAGAGGATCTCTATAAGAGAAGACCGTTACAAAATTCTGAAACCATTTTATTTAAGGGATCGTATACAAATGATACCACTTAACCTTTGGTGTAGGTAGGTCACAATTACTTACAACTATCTAATGTAAAATCTGATAGAATGGATGTGTTATAAAGTTCGAAAAAATTTAGTTTGAACTATGATTTTGGTCAATTAAATAAATGCAGCCACCGAATTTCACATCTAATGATGGTCAAGATTAATTGTGACCCCTTGTACCGAAGATAAATAGTTTCATTATATACTTTCGTTTTATTTAAAAAGCAAGGAAGAAGAAATAAAGATGCCAACCTATTATAGGAGCTCACACTAGTTTCACTAATCCCTCGTTGCCCACCCAAGTTATTGGTCAGCTTTACATGCATGTTACATTGTTTCGGGCCGTTTGGTGCAGCATGATAATACATAATGGATCAGCTAACATTGCACCTTAAATCAGCCTTCTTCACGATTTGGGGAGAACGCTGCAAGAAGCTTTTACCGGTATCAAAGAAAAGGCTGGTGGAGTTGCACTTCATGCGCACCATCCAAACTCACCTGATGGCGGCATCCTCATTGATTCCATTCTAGAGAATATGTTCCTTCTTCGTATTTCCAACTAACAAGAAATTATTCCGCATAGCTGAAAGATATACAATATTTCATTAAATTTGTATTTGGACGCTACTATTATACGTGCCCGTCGCATACCTTAAAAAACGTTATTCGAATTGGTACCGTTTTTTTGTAATCCAGTCAGGGAGGCAATATTGTAGCCACTCCACATTTTCAACCTGTGACCTTCGCTCTAACTAATAGGCCCAGTCCAATTGGGACTAGCTCAACAAGATTGGGTTAGCTTCGAAGCCGTATTGGTCTCAAGACCTTTCTTTTCTGAGTCGGGGCAGATTATGCAAGAGTGTGAAATTGGGACTTGCTCAACAAGATTGGGTTAGCATCTATCAGATGGTGAAGTTAGTGCTTATGGGCTACTTTTCCTTACAGTTTCCCAAACATGTCCTCCGTTTGATGTACCAACCCATTGTCAATCTTCCTTCCGTTTCCCGTATAAAATATCCGTTCCTCTAATACCAACTACTCAGGCCCCCGTAAAGTCCGTTCATTACGCGTTCGGTGGACATATTCTTTGCACCATTTATGAACATATCAACCATACATGAAGACGCCAGCCGGCCATAGTTGTTCAACTTAAATATTAAACAAGAAATACGACGGGAAATAATAATTCATTATCATTAGTAAATCAATCAAATGCTAATTTTCTATAATCCTAGCTAGGTAGGAAACCTTGAAACGGGAATATAAACATTTCCAGTAAAAATTTTTCATTGTTTGATTGGGATGGGATAGGCATAAACTTAGAGCATGAATGATATCACACGCCATTGCAGGTTCTAAAGAAATAAAATGCTGCAAAACGACATCATTTGAAATAAAATATTGAAATAATCTAAAATAAATTACTTCCCAAACGCCATGCCAGACGCCCAGCACACAGAGTCGGACCCTTGATATAGTGGAATGAAAATCCATGTGCCGTTCATCACAAGCGTTTGCAGGGTTTTCAAGTGCGGCATTCTTTCATTACGATAAAGCCTTCAAAGCTCACCCAACCCAAATTTAAGTAATTAAGAATGTTTGAATTTTAATTAAAACTAAACACGAATTTTATGCATGATTCCATAAAACAAGTGGAATCGGGAGAACAAACATCGGAGCCATCTATGTCTTATCAGGTATCACAGCTTAGGTACAACTGCATGTTTCCCACCATTTAATATTTTATGAATTATGAGATGGTGGTGTTTATCAACTGTTTGACGTCTTCCGCCTTTTTTTTTTAATACAAATTTTACAAGAATCTTATTAACCGAAGAATTCTTACTGAAGTAGGCAAAAGAAAATCAAATAAAATTATAATAAAATCACCTGTAAATTGCCGAAAGGTCATAAGCAACCCTCTTAGTTTTTCGGAAAACATGTGGTTTGCTACTTATACATGGAAAATGATTTGATAGGTTGCAACCCTATCAAAATAAGTAAAGCCTCACTTTAGAACTGATTGAAAATTTTAATTCAATTATTAGAAAACCTTTGCATCGTTCATCTTGGCTTGAACATTATGACTGTGAGAACAAAAAAAAAAAAAGGATTTGAAGCTCTAAAAGTAAGATTATCATAGCAAATTATTGAGACCATCCATTTAGCCATAGATTGGCAAGATCACTACCATTTTATAGTTTCGAATTTCACTGTTGGTTAGGAAAATTTGATTTTTGAGCCATCATGAAGATTTCAGTTCCCTGAAGTATTTTTTGAACGAGAATCCGAGGTGACGCTTTTATTTTTTTTTTATAAATCCTAGGCCTTATAAAAACCTCATCAGCTATTTAATAAAAGTAAATTATGAAGATTCTCACCATTTCGCTTCATAGTAATCCTAATCGCATTTCAGACATTTCAAAAGGGGCTCTATATTCCCTTTTCTACGTTACCTACCCTAGCTGGGAATAGAACCTGGACGCTCCATTCTTCAATTTTGGTTACCACTTGGAATATTACTACAAATTTCTCTTTATCCTCTATCAATTCTTTTGGTTTAACCCATAACACAAAAAATTACATTAGAGTAATGTATCTTTTTCTTAAGAGGGATCATGCTGCACACTTGCTTCATCGGACAAAGAGTTAGTGGGAAGTTTTTTTTTAATTATTTGTTTTTTTTGTCAAAAAATTTGTGGTTCCCAAAGATTAACCACATGGATAATTAATTAAAAAACCAGAAAAAATGCCAATCAACCTTTCGTGTCTTCTAACTCTCAAAGTCACCCTCTAAAATTTAGAAGATCGCTATTCAATATCAGGATATTCTTATTGTCAAGTGCAATACTCAGACCAATTTGCTAAAGAAAAATAACCGACCAATTTGCTAAAGAAAAATAACCGAGAGAGAAAAAACAAGGGAGACTGGTCGTCGGAAGAGGTTATGTACCCAATATTTGGGATCACAAAAATAGTACTAGATTAGATTTCATCGAAGGGGTGTAAATGAACAATATGGGCCTACCAGAGCATAAAATATTTATAAATTAGTAATAAAAAGGGTTATGAGGTCTCATTCGAGAGTGAGATTTGTAGGTCATGGTAGAATTGGAGGTTGAAGTACCCAAGATGCGATCCAAAGTTGCAGACGAGCAAAGCTATACTTAGGTCAAGAAATAGTTTTATTCTGCTCATGGATTGTGTACGAGTAAACCAGCTGCTATACCAAAACCCTTTTGGAAACTTTACCATATCAAGGGCATAGATTTGCAGGAAGTAGTAGGCTAATTGTATCAAATGAATCGTTTTTCATTTGTTTGATTGAGATGGGATTATTCTAACAGGATAGGAAGAAACATCGAGGCATCGCAGTTTCTAATAAACTAAAATGTGGAAAAAAGATAAAATATTAAATAAAATAAAGAAATAAAATAAAGAAATAAAATAAAGTAAACTACATTCCAAACGCCAGCCGGCCGGCCCAGCAACTGGAGTGGACTACCCTTCTTGCTTGCTCACCAGCCCCCGAGCTTGAACTTCAAAGAGATTAGTGGTCTTATTCTTGTTGGTGGCTTGGCCATAGGCCAATTCATTGTCTTGAGAATCTAAGGCATAAGCTCTAATGAAATAAGTAGCACTAGGAATATCTCTCTCTATGAGCCAAGAGACAGTGGTTCTTGAGTTGTTTGGGTTGTAAGGTTGAGCTGCTATCTTGAATTGGCATGTCTTATCTTTCTTGAGATCATCCACAGTCTTCCTCCCTGCCCTGTCCTTTTGGCTCAAAGGTGCAGAGCAAAGCTTAATCTTTATCTTCTTATATTGTAGGTCTGTTCCATGAGGGAAAGACGGGTTCGATGACCATGAGGGCGAGACTGGTTGGTACATAAAAAACTGCACATTTAGTACTTTGTGTGTTATTTCTGATTGGTACATAAAAAACTGCACATTTAACACTTCTTACATAATAAAGGTTAACATACTAAAAAAAAACACTTCTTACATAATACTAGATGTGTTTCAATATGATAATAGCCCATCATGAGGTATTTCCAAACAATCATCCAGCAGGCCACATGCATATACACAACTTTCAATGCAACCAAAATCAAACTTTAACTATACACAAGACTTGCCATTCAATAAGTTCAAACATTGTCAATGCTCATAACAATTTTGATCTTTCTTGTTGGGTTGTAAAATTAGGTTAGACAAAAAGAAATAAAAACCTGAAAAACCATTTAAATACATGTTTCCAAAAAGAATTAAAATTTATAGCTGATGTATAACAACAGTTATATGGTGAAAAAACATTATTTATGATGATAGAGAACAAGTACAACCGAGCAGCCATATCCATTCCAAAAGCAAAAGCCAGCTGCCATATGAAGTCCAGTATTTTCTCAAATATATACTTGTAAGAATGCCAATGTTGCTCTTCGAGGCAATAGCAGTCTACAAGGCTAAATCTCAAGACAAGCAATGACTCTCTGTAGTCAAAGCCCCCAAATGGACACATGAGCTTCAGCATGGAGGCATTCCAGGAGAATACCACCAAGATCGGGGTTGGTGCAGGCAGCAACTCTAGGCACCTGCCTAGACCACTGCTCAATGCTCAGCTGTGCATATAGACCATGCAGAATGGCCTCGGCCCCGGCCCAAAATTCCTTTTGCATTTATTTTTCTTTTAATTGAACTATTCAAGATAGTTCAATTCTTTCTTTTCGCCACAACATTTTGTTGTGGTGTGTAGAATGTGGTCATTTGGTGGCAAACTTCATGTTCTTTACAAAATTTTTGGAAAGCATTAGAATTGTATCCTTCAACTTTATCTGATCTTATCACCTTAATTTGAAAACCACTTTGTTTCTCCACAAAAGCTTTGAATTCCTTAAACACTTCAAACACTTTCAAATTTTTTTGAAGGAAACAAACTCATGGTTTGCTTCATAAAGGTTAGAAAGTACTGACATTTTTCATGTGAGATGGGCTCAAGTGGTCCACACACATCCGCATGCATGAGTTGGAGAGGCCTTTGTGTTTTCCTTGATTTTCGCCTCTTGAAGCTTTCTCGATAGTTCTTTCCTACAATACACCCTTCACATACTCCATCAAGCTGCTTTATCCATGGTAACCCATTCACCATTTTTGCTTTTGACAACAGTTTCTAACCACCAAAATTGAGATGACCAAAATGAAAATGTCATAACCATGAATCATCATTGAAAATAGATTTGAGGCATTTCACATTTTCACATTTGATATTCATTGGAAACATTCTATTCTTAGTCAATCACTTTGGCAATCAAATTGTTTCTTTGGTCTCTCAAGTGAAGGTTACCATTTTTCATAAAATATTATAGCCTTTTTCTAATAATTGTCCCACACTCAAAATGTTATTTTTCATGTCCAGCACATAATATATATCGGAAATAAATAGATGACCGCCATTTTTTGTTTTTATCAAAATTTTACCTTTGCCTTTTAAAGGTCTTTTTGATAATTCTCCTAATGTTACATGCCCATGACTTAATTCATTCAATTCCACAAATAATTCTTTTCTACCACACATGTGATTGCTTGCACCGGTGTCAAGATACGAAGTATTCACTTGATTATCGTTTTTATCATTACATGATAATAACAAAGTTGGTTCTTCTTCATCATTTTTCTTTTCAACAAAATTAGCTTTTTCAAATACATCATTTTGGGAACGGTATCTACACTCGGAACTGTAATGGACATATTTTTTGCAGTTATAACATTGAATAGTAGTTTTTTCATACCTTGAATGATTGTATGTCCTTGAAAAATTATCTCTTCCTCGTCCTCTTTGAGCATGTGGGTGGTTTTGATCTCTCACACCTCCATAATTAAAGTTGTCTCTTCCACGTCCTGTCCTTCTATTGCCACGACCTCTTTGGCCTCTTCCTCCACAAGATTCTTCATTCTCTTTCTTCACTGTAAGCTTGTTTGTAGTGCATGCTCTAAAGAGTTCTGAGTCTTCGTTTGCAATATTTTTTCATGGGCTAGCAATCATGAGTTGATCAATAGCCATAGCCTCAAAATCTTATGATTCTTCAATGGCTACAACAATGTGCTCATACTTACGATCTAGTGAGCATAGCGTTTTCTCCATTACTCTTACATCATTTATATTTTCTCCATTTCTTCTCAATTGGTTTACAACAACCAAGACCCTTGAAAGATATGCTAAAATATTTTTGGATTCATTCATTTTCAATGCCTCAAAATCGGCCCTAAGAGTTTGAAGGTGCACGTTTTTCGCCTTTTCAACTCCTTTGAAAGAATTTTGAAGAATCTCCCATACCTTCTTTGAATTTTCAGCGGAAGAAATTTTCTCAAAAGTGCTCTCATCAATTCCTTGGTAAATAAGAAAGAGAGCTCTCTTCTCCAACCTTCTCGACTCCTTTAGTACGCTTCTTTGATCATTATCCAAAGCGGCTTCTTCTTGCGGGGTTACTAGTTCTACAGACCTCTTTTCAACAACATCCCAAGCGCCTTGAGACCCCAACAATACCTTCATTTGAATAATCCAATTCTCATAGTTATCTTTGGTGAGAAGGAGAATTTGTGGTTAGCTCAAGGGGGTCATTCTTAAGCACTTTGGCTCTGATACCACTTGTTAGAAAATTGGGAGGAAGAAGGTTTACTTTGAATTTGTAGTTATGTACACAAAAGAGCTCAATTCAACACAATTTCTTCACTCAGCTTGTACAAAAACATAGTACATGTATATATAAACCAATTAGGAGCTTTCTAGACTCTTTCTACACCATTCTAGTGAAGTTTTCCCTCTCATAACTTACAACCTTTACGCATGGACGAAATTGCAAGATTATTCAAGAAAATTAAGGACTTCACTCTTTCCCAATTCAAATTTGCATGCATTGCATGCTTTGGACTCCTCTCTCTTAATCTTGGGACTCCTCTCTCTCTATATTGGATTTGTGACCTTGGACCTCTACATAATTCTTTTACATCGTTCCAAACTTACCCTTAACTTAATTTTCCCAAAATTTCCCTTACATTTAAATCTAAGCCCCAAAATACCCTAGAACATAGTCAACCTTATTTTTAACAATATCCCCACCATTTATCCTTCTTTCCCTAAACATCAGCCCCATAAACCTATTTATTTTCTTCAGTCTAATAATTTTCCAAGAGATTGACACCATCTCTCTCGTTCATGGATTTCATAAGCTCAATCCTCGAGACTGTTACCTAATATGTGATCGATCCCCTAATCCCCCAGCTTGGCTACTTAATACACATCAATGACAATGTGGAGGCCTTGACAGATGCAACCGGGAAACTAAATGGAAAGAGGGATAACGTAAGGAGCACATTAGAAGCAGATGAGAGGGAAGGAAAGCTCTCGCCTAGTGTTGAGTGATTGGCTAAAGGTTGTCGATGAAATCGAAACAACAACCAAGATGATCGAAGAGGAGTATAGACAAGGAAAGACATTTCTAAAGGGGTTATGTACAAAATGTTGGTCACGATACAGATTGAGCAAGAGGCCTGTGAAGCTCAAGCTAGTAGCTGATGACAGACTTGCAACACAATTTGTTATAGTGAAACCATCTCCTCTAGAGTTCGTGAGAGTGGTAGAAACCACACCCATCAACGACCAACCAACTATTCAAGAAACTTTGTAAAAGGTCCTCTATGACATAAATGACGAACGTTATGGGGTCATCAGAGTATATGGTATAGGTGGTGTTTGGCACAATGACTATGCTTGAAAATGTAAACAATCACTTCAAAGATAAGGCTTCTTTTGGCACTGTTATAATGGTTATGGTATTTGCCACTCCAACTATACAGAGTATGCAAAATAACATTAGTGAACTCCTTGGATTGGATTTGACAAATTGCAATGAGGAGGATGCAAAAGATAAGTTGTTGGATGCTTTGAGGAAAAACAAGTTTCTTCTAATAGTGGATGATTTGTGGCATGAATTGAATCTAGGGGATATAGGAATCCCTCAACCTGGAAAGGATAATGGGTGCAAGATTCTTGTGAGCAACCAAAATCTAGATGTATGTACAGACATGAGGGCTGAATCCATAATAGAAGTGAAGAAGTTGTCAGAGTCGGAAGCTTGGAGTCTGTTTGTTGCAAAAGTGGGTCGGGATGCTACTTTCCCATCAATAAAACCCCATGCTGAGATTGTGCTTAGAAAGTATAAGGGCTTGCCCCTCGCCATCATCATTGTTTCATATGCCAAGGAAAACCGACACACAATGAGGGAATGGGAGGATGCCATTAAATAATTGAAGCAATCAGCTGCAGGCCTTCGAGGTATGGAGCAAAAAGTATTTGATTCTTTAAAGTTTAGTTATGATAGACTTGAAAGTGATATTCTTGTTTGTGCTTTATATAATGTGGACTATTCAATAAACCAAGATGAATTAGCAATTCATTACATTGGAGATGGATTCATTGATAGATAAGGTAGTCTGAGAGCCACTTGGAATAAAATTTCTACTTTGGTAGGGAGTCTTAAAACATCATGCATGCTCGATAATGGGGAAGAAGTAGGGGAGGTGAGATGCGTGAGCTAGTGTTGTGGATCACTTATCCAAAGTCAAAAGACAACCTGAAGTTCTTGGTGCATGCCCGAGCTTCATTGAAGGAGGCACTAGAGGCTGCTGAGTGGGAAGAAGAAGATAGATTTTCACTGACCCAAAAAGAACTGGAGGTTCTCCCCGAATTGTCGCTGAGTTGCCCAAAACTTGTTACGTTGCTGCTCCAAGGTAATGAAACCCTTAAGGCCATTCCCTCAAATAGTTCCTTCGAATGCATGGATTGCCTTCATGTGCTCGATCTTAGTGACACTAGGATTAAATCTCTTCCATCTTCCCTGTCATGTTTAGTAAATCTCTGTGTGCTCAATTTGAGCAATTGCCAATCGCTACGAGACTTTCCACCAATTGGAGGGCTCCAACAACTCCAGTAGTTAGAAATGTTTATGTGAAAATATTGTTAAAAATAAGCTTGATTATGTTCAAGGGTATTTTGGTTATTAGATTTAAATGTAAGGGACATTTTGGAAAATTTATTTTACGGGTAATTTTGGAATGATGGAAAATAATTGTGAAGAGTTCCAAAGTCACAATTCCAAGATTGAGAGAGAGAGAACAGTCCCAAGATTGAGAGAGAGGAGTCCAAAGCATGCGATGCATGCAAATTTGAATTGGGAATGAGTGAATTCTAGAATTTTCTTGAATACTCTTGTAATTTCATCCAAGCATATAGGTTATAAGTTATGAGAGGGAAAACTTCACTAGAATGGTATAGAAAGAGTCTAGAAAGCTCATAAGTGGTCTATATATACATGTACTATGTTTTTGTTTAAGTAGCGTGAAGAAATTGAGTTGATTTGGTCTTTTTGTGTGCATGGTACAAATTCTCAAAGTAAGCCTTCTTCCTCCCTATTTTCTAACGAGTGATATCAGAGCCAAAGTGCTTAAGAATGGCCCCCTTGATCCAACTACAATTCCTCTTCTCACCAAAGATAACTATGACAATTGGAGTATTCAAATAAAGGCATTGTTGGGGCCTCAAGATGCTTGGGATGTTGTTGAAAAGGGGTATGTAGAACCGGTAACCCTGCAAGAAGAAGCCGCTTTGGATCAAAATCAAAGAAGTGTGCTAAAAGAGTCGAGAAGGTTGGACAATAAACCTCTTTTTCTTATTTACCAAGGAATTGATGAGAGCACTTTTAAAGTTCAAAGAAGGTATGGGAGATTCTTCAAATTTCTTTCAAAGGAGTTGAAAAGGTGAAAAAGTGTGCCTACAAACTGGTAGGGCCGAGTTTGAGGCATTGAAAATGAATGAATCCGAAAATATTTTGGAATGCTTCTCAAGGGTTTTGGTTGTCGTAAACCAATTGAGAAAAAATTGAGAAAATATGGATGATGTAAGAGTAATGGAGAAAATGCTATGATCACTAGATCGTAAGTATGAGCACATTGTTGCCAATACTTTATTTTTCGGGTACTTGGATTCAAATAACCGGCACCCCTTCACACCCTTCCTATATCACATAAAGTTGTACTTCTTTGACCATGGATCTAATTTGTTTCTTTGGCAACTTGGAATAAGTGCATAAGCATCAAAACCAAATTTTATTAAATCAGAGTAGTTGCTAGGAGTTCCATACCATACCTCGTTGAGAGTTTTGCTTCTCAACGCTACCGAAGGTGATCTATTGATAAGATAATAAGTCATTGATAAGGCTTCCAATCATAATTCTTAATATATACTGACATTACTTAACATACACTTCGCATGCTCTATCAAAGCGAGATTCATCCTCTTGGGGCACACCCTTTTGTTGAGGATAGTAGGCCTTTGTATAACACCTAGTAATTCCTCCGCCTTGCAAAAACATTCGAACAACTTTGATATAAACTCTCCACCATTATCGGTTCGAAGTACTTTGATGTGATGCCCCGTAGAGTTTTCAACTTCGACTTTAAAATTCTTGAATACACAAAACACATCACTTTTGGACTTGAGAGGTTGATCCATACTTTTCTTGAGAAGTCATCAACAAATGAAATAAAATGTAATGGACCTCCATAAGATATAGTTAGTGAAGGGGCCCACACATCCAAATGGATATAATGATGTTTGCACTTAGTTTTATGTTTCCAGCCTTGAAATGTCGTTGTTGTTGTTTTCAATAGACACAATACTCACAAAATTCGGATCCATCAAATTTAAATGTAGGAATAAAATTTCTCTTCATCAGGACCTCCATATTGTTATCACTCATATACCCCAATCTTCTATGTCATTTATGAAATAGAACATCCTCACCTTCAACCACCAAATTCACTACGTCATTTATGATTGTGCTTCCCAATAATTTGAACAAGCTCCCAACTAGGACTCCTTTCATTACAATTAGAGCTCCTTTTGATAATTTGATTACTCCACCTTGACCAGTGAACTTGTAACCTTCTGAATCTAGAGAAGAGAAGGAAATGAAGCTCTTTTTCAGTTCTGGTACACGCTATCATCCTTAATTTCCTAATAGTCCGATCAAACAATCTTAGGCAAATCGAACCCATTCCATCCACCTTGATAGTTGAGTAATTAACCATGGATATTAATCCTCCTTCACATGACTCATAGGAGTTAAACCAAGATCCATGTGGAGACATGTGATGGGTGGCCCCACTATCAAGTATCCAATTTTGATAGAATATAGAGTTATATGCCACCATCAATACTTCATCTTTTATGATCCGGATGCAGCCTCTTCAATTTGATTCACTTCATTCTTATAGTCTCTTGACCTTGCACCTCTAGCAATAGGAGCTTTGGAAGAATTCGCCCCTTTTCTTTTGAAATAATTATTTCCGGGCTTCCCTCAATGCCAACACACATTCTTGTTATTGGGCCCTCTAGATTTTGATCGAAAACTTGAAATACTTCTTGAATGATTCCTCGATGAATCACCCTGTTCATTAAATCAGCCTCTTGTCACAAGAACTTCAGTCGTAAATTATGTTTGTGAGATATTTTGATTGAGACAAACTTTCCAATTTTTTCCATAAATCTTTTTTTTTCTTTTCGCAAACAATATTAAACAAAACTCCATTTGCTAAACACAAGCAAATAGTGGCCCCTGCCTTTTTATCGAGTTCATCTCAATTATCATCAGTCATATTGCTAGGTTTTTTATCTTTTCCATGTATGTGTTTCCTTGATGTACCAATAAATATTACATTGTTAATCTTCAAATTTCAAAATTATCTGTCCCATTAAAATTCTTCACCTAAAACTTTGAGATGCCAGTATTAAAAAAATACTACATTAATTCCTTAAGCTCTATACCATTTGTTGATTATTGGGATAATCAAATTATCCTATTTGAGCAAATCGGAATATCTCAAATCCCTACTCGAAGTGGTGAACAACCCATTACAATAATTCCAAAATTCAAATAACATGCCCAAGATGCAATAACAAGTGCATTGTAATTGGAAAAAAAATATATAACAAAGAAAGAAAGTAATATGGAAAATAATCAAAGCACAACACAAATGAAAATAGGGAGGTGACATGCACATTTACATGGTTCACCCAAGATGGGTTACATCCACGGCCAAGACGGCCAAAGTGTACTCACTATCAAGAGGAAAAACTTAGAAGATTGGGATTATGTAGTTGCCTTATACAATCTCAAGGAAAGCACAAACAAAAGAACTTTGAACCACAAAACTACCTACAATCAACGCCTTATTTGATTCACCTATCTTCTAATTCGATTCACCTACCTTCTAATTCGATTCACCGATGCTGTGAAAAAAATCTGATAAAATGGCCCAACTTGAACCCAAATGGCAGCATTAGCGTTTTGTAGCAAAAAACCCCAAAATTTTCTTCCAATGCTTCTCTCTCTACATTTTTCCTTCTGTTTTTCTTCTTATATCTTTTTCTCACTGAACTTAAATGAATTATACAGCCCAATGAGAAAGAACCTTTTCATTATGACTAAAATATCCCTCATCATAATGAAAATACCATGGGTTATGATCTAGCATCAGGTCCCAACACGATATAGAAAACGTATTCCTTTAACATTTGGTGGTTTAGTACTTGATTTAAGGTGGAACAGGGAATGCTTTGTGATATTCGTCTCGAAAGCTCGAATGCTGGTCTTTAGATATAGCTTAACTTGAATAGTAAATAAATAGAAAACCGCATGTAATTTGTTCATCACATCAATAAATCTCTTTTTTGATAGAACGGAAAACCCATCACATAAATACCATAAACAGACGACTCTTATGGTACCCACATAAGGCTGTACAACATGTTAATAGCCTTTATTTATATTAACAAACCAAATTTAAGTCATATAAGATGTAAGGTGTATGCGATTGATACTAATGCACATCTCCTAGCACTGTCGGAGTTTGAATCCCATTGGAGTAACTTTTGTTTTCAAAGACTGTCATTTTTTATATTATAGAAGTTCAAGAAACAAATTGTAGGGTTCGAAGATTCGAACTCTAGACATCTGAGCAAGGCAACAGCGCAATGTCATACGGCGTTTGTATTTCTTTCGATAATGCCGACGACTAATATATTTACATTTAGGGGCCGTTTGGGTACCTGAAAATCTATTATAATGAAACATATTACAGGGAAATATGAGACTCGTTTGGGTACCTGAAAATCTATTATGATGAAACATATTACAAGGAAATATGAGATTTACCATGTTTGGGTACATTTCATCCGTATGAAAATGGAAATAATATACGTGAAATCTATTACGCACAAGTTGGCTGTGAAATCCATTACGTGCTTACTGGGTAATCTAACTACGCGGGTCTCTTGACCAAAGAAAAAAAAAAAACCTCTATCTCCCACTATTCTGCCTCTCTTTTGTGTGCACGTCCATTCTCCTGCAATTCCCCATCTCTCCTGTGCACAACCATTTCTACTTTCTCTCTAAACTCCACTTATAAGTGTTTGCACGTACATCTATTTCTAGACACTCTCGTTCGCACATCCATTTCTACATCCTTGTATCCCCAATTTGGGTTGTAGCCCTCATTTGATGCCATCTGCTATCATATTATTATGCCATCGCTCTTCAAGCCGTTGAAGCTATTTTAGGTCTGTCCTGTGTTGTTTTTAATTTTTCTCATCAATCCAAAAGGGTTTTGAATTGATGGGTTGTTGCATAAGATTTATGAGATATCCTCATTAGATGAATACTAGAGGTCAATAACAATTTGAGATACCCCTTTCTTCTAATCCTTGGTCCTATGTTGCTTTTCTTTCTCCCAATCCTCAATTTGAGGGGTTCTCCTCTCCCATTAGTTGGTTTTCTCTCACTAGAGTGAACCAATTTACTCTCTTTACAAGTTACCTCTGTGAGTAGTGATGCCCATTAAAGCTAATTTGCTTATGTTGCTTCTGCTGTTGAAT